ACTAAGCGGGTGCCCCCTTCCTCAAGGGCCTAAAAATCTTCGCAAGCCAGTGTGAGAGAAAACAGCAGGGTTTTAAGCTTCTAGAATGTGATATCTGTGATCATTACAATAAGGCCCCCCAAAAAAGTCTCCGGTTTCTGGTATGGAGCTTGCCCAAAAAGTGGTGCGGCGACGCGGCTTTTTTTTTTTTTTACCTGATTTTTTTGCTTCAAATGTCGGCTGATGACTGCAAATGGTGCCCGACTCAACTTACATTAGTGCAAATATATGGGAGTCCAGAGAGGCCACATAAAGCTTGTTCTCGACCATAACCCAATCTAAAAACGCGTTAAAATTGTGCAGCAGCACGATTCCAGTCAAACCAGTGAGTTTGGCGGTTTTGAGACATCATCTTTCATTGAAGAAAAAACTTTTTCATTTTGCCGATGCGCATGGCTACGGCGACGCGCGCGCATACCAGAAACCGGAGACTTTTTTTTTTTGCCTAAAGCCCACCCATCTGTGACTTGTAGCATGACATTATATTTGCTCGTAAAGCTTGAAAGGTTGTCTGCCAGGCGTCGGAATATTATTGTCGTTTCTGAAACTCGGGCAGTTCAGCGATCTTCAACAAACACAACAGTACATGTATGTTCATGTATGTTGCAGTAGCAATCACAAAGAACAAAAAGCTACTGCTTGTAACATTTTTCACACCCGTTTCTGTTCTCAACTTCAGTTGCGTCTGCAATCACTACATGTTGACTTAAAAAAATATGGTCGTATTTCATGTGTCGTGAAGTGTCTGTCTGCATTTACTAATATAATTGTCTTGACATTCCTGACTATAAGACAATAAATCTTGTTTCAAACATATTTTCTTGTCTCGCTCCCTATGTTTTTTTTGGTTTGAGGTGATTGAAACAAGAACAATTCTCTTTGAAACAAGATTGTTTTCCCCCCAAAATTTTCATAAACCCACTTGAAGCAGTTTGTGGAATTGAAGTCAATATTCCATTTACAGATTTGCTAAATGGTTTGTATGCATCGTAATGTTTTTCTGTCTGTTGATTGCATCAGAGAGTGCTTTTGAAGGGATTTCACTAAGATCCTGATTGTTGTTGTTGCACCAAGGTTTCACATCTTACAAAAATGAGGTAAAATTTCAGGTGAGAAAGTGTTGGCCCCACTTGGTGGCACATTTGTCATGTCCTCAAGATTGATACTGCCTTAAGTTGCTGTAATGGATGCTCTTCAACATACGGTACACATGTGATCATTTTTTTTTCCCCTAGCGATTTTTCTTTTCTATTTTGGATGTTTTCAACCCTCTGAAAATACATTGAAATATTTGGTTGCTAACACGCACAAACAAAGACACGCCTGAATTATTGTCGGTTTGCAGATAATTCAAAAGTTGTAACGTAAACATTCCATCATGTCTGTTCTAAAACGTGGGCGGATGTCATGTTCAATGTCTCATTCAAAAGTGAATCACTTTTGTATTGCTACAAAAGTAGCGGTTTAAAAAGAGACTCAATTTTTGAAGAAGGAAATCAAAAATAGTGTGGGCAGAGAAACTTTGAAACACTGCCTCTGTTAAAATTTCCCTCGTTTATTGAGGAAAAGTTGGAAAACAAATTGTTAATTTCCAAATTTGTCCCCCCCCCCAAAAAAAATTGCCATTGATTATTATATGAATTAGAAAGGTCTGAAAGCTCTTTATTCAGGACAAATTATTTATAATTCCCGCAGTAGCAGACCTGCTCATGGCACCCGACGTGCCTATTCAGACGTTTCGTCCTCAAACACAAATATCTCAGATTTTGTTTGCTTGAAAGTGATCAAAGTGAAGAATGGCTTTTTAAAAGGATAATTGTGTGGTCACTGAAATTTTGTACTGTCTCTTTTCACTTTGTTTCTCCATAATTGGCCTTTTTTCATCGTATTCAGGTGTGTTTATGGGTCTATGTTTTTTACATGTATGTGTCCCGACCAAAACACCTGTTTTTCCCCCGTTTTAATTTTTGGCACAAACAGATCTGTCGTGTCAGCAGACTGGCTCCCGGTCCATTCATTATCAATCCTGATTGTGGGGGTGGGAACCAGCCGAACAGAATTACTGTCGGTCCGCCAATAATTCGAAATTTGTGGGGTAATGATTCAATAACTAAACATGGGCCTTCCGAAATTATTCCGTTCCAGCACTGTCATTTTCGAAGAAATTAATAAATGTAGATGATTTACAACGATCTGGCGATTGACTGATTTTTGGAATAAAGAGTGCTATATGGAACAAAATTTGTGCATGACTTTTCACTGTTTTCTCGAAGAATGTAATTTCCTCCGGGCTGAAACTTGAACATGTTAGGTGCTGATCATTCTTTTTTGGATTTCGAGTGGTGTTGTTATTGGTGGAAACAAACAAAATGCATGAAAAGCAAACAGGCTTTCAAGTATTCCTACTTTTCCTGTGTTTTTTTTTTTTTTTACCTTGCGTTTTGTTTTTTGCTTAAAATTCCTACTTTTTTGTTGCACAAATCTGGAAAATGAAATCACATTGAATATTTTTTCAAAACAGTGTTACACACTGTCAAATCACACAATGAAGGGCTTGGGCGCAGGAGTACTTCAACTGTACCTCCAAGAGCTTAGTAGAGGACGGAGCACAAGTGTTGTGAGTACAGAACATGCCAAATGAGGCTTATAAAATGATGCTGTGGACATGGGCGAGTATCAACGAAAACTACCCCTGAAAGCCCACGAAAGTCCTACTTTTATCCTGATGTTGTCCTCCAAAGTCCTACTTTTGTCCTGTTTCTCTGAAAATTTTGATCGTACTGTTCTCGTACTTTTTCACCTGGGTCTGCTTCAAAGTCTGAGTAACTGATCAGACATGCCTTAATGTATGGATGGATAAAAACGAGTCAGAACGCATGTAATCCTCCATGTATGGGCAGTTTGACAGAATAATGTTGAGTGGTGAATGTTCATGTATGCGTGTCTAGCTGTTTGCAGCGCTGTCTGGCTGATATGCAAATACAGGACCTCATTGATCAACGTGACCCTGCCCGGGTTCAGGGTGGCGTAGAAGTGAACGTGGAAGTCCATAGAAGCGCCAAGCAAAACGCTTAGCGCTTTGGGCATTTAAGCAAATAAATAAATAAATAAAATTAAAAAAATGGAAAAACTAGTGTGGGAACTAGTTGCAAACGGTTAACATCTCTAGCTGATTGTTGATCCTTTTGACCCTGTCTGACTTTTAGAACGGCATAAAAATCCAGGGCCCAATTTCTCGAAGCTGAACAAGAAACTGCGAACCAATCGATCCATTTTTGACCTGCTCAGCTTTGAGGTGGTGTATACTTAAAACAAACGGCCACATTTTTATGGAGTCACTTTGAAAAATAAGAAAGAAAACAAAATCTGAACAAAAACAATGTGTTTTCTGCAACTATGCAAATTGATGTGCTTTGAACCACATCACATGACACAGTGGCATGGTCGGAAAGTTTTGCTGAGCCAGTGTTTTCTGTGTTCAGCAACTTGAAATTAGGGTGCTAAAACTCGGTGTAATTAGTTTAAGTGATGGCTGTTTCCCTTTTGGAGAAGTTCCTGTGCTTAGGGTCTTATGCTTTTTGTGCAGTTATTCCTATTGAATCAACAATAATTGCTCAAAATCTCAGCAGAGTGCGTGGCAACTGACCTGTTAGTTTAAAGCTACAGTCCATCATGTGCAGCTATCCAAAAAGTGACTGATGTAATTATTGTTGAAAAACATACTTGGTTGAAAGATAGTAAGGGGACTAAACTCCCTGTGAAATTATTCTCTCTGGCATGCTGTCATTTTGAAGAAATCAACGAAAGAAGGCCTTTCCAACGGTGCGTCTTAAGACGCACCGTTGGAAATTTCCGTTAGTAGTTCGTTTTTTTTATACGGCGAAGCGCGCGTAAGCGTTGACACGACGCACACGCGTGCGCACCCTCTATAATTCGTCAGATCAGTGCGCGACATCGCGTAGCTGCCTTCGGCTCAGTGCAAACGTGTCACGGACGCTGAATTCAGGCCCAATTCAAAACATAATTCAGCCACTTTTGATTTCAAATCGAGATCCTAGAATGTTGTTTTGCTAAAAAAATACAGCTGAAGCTGAGCTGAAACTTCATCAGCTTAGTTGTTTATCACCCTTCTTTAGATTTTGAGCATGTTTGTTGCTTCAAACGAACAAAATGCACAAATTACAAATGTCAGGTCAGTGGTAGGGCTGTCTCGAATATACCGAATATTCAAATATTCCAGCATCAACCCAATATTCGAAAGCTTTTTGCCGGCTTGAATATTAAAAAAAAATAATAAAATAGGCCTAACACTTGACTGTGGTGTTAGTTTATCGTAAAGTTGGGGGCTTTATTGCGAGTGGCACTTTTTTGTGTACGGTAACATTTTTGTCGACAGCATTTCATTGCCAGTTCAGGCTTGAACTTGACTTTATTTCATCTCACAATTTACATGAGTACAAGGTGATAGGCAGATAATAAATACAATTAATAGAGATGCGGAATCCATAAAAAAGCTTAGCTTGTGGGTATGGACCCCGATAATTAGCATGATTATACTTACAAATGGATTATAAACACTGGCACATTTCGAACATATTCAAATATTCGATCTAGTCCAAGTTAGGACAATCTACTATACAAAAATTCACCACACTATTGTTTTGAAACCCTGTCGTCTATTTTTGACACGACTTGGTTTTCATGTACATGTATGTCAAAAAAACCTGTTAAACTTCAGCACAGTTTATTCAGTCCAAGGCAAATCTATGAAATTTTGAATGCTGACTAAAGCAGTGGTGGCACCACTCAGTTTGTTGTGAATACAGCTTCAGAAAGCTGGTCTTGGTATTTCTTGTGGAAAATAAAATAAAAAAATAAAGAAACTACATGTTCTATAACTTGTTTCATCGTATGTTGTTGTAATCAGCTTATAAGTTTCAATTTTTTGTGTGTGTCTTACAGGTAATACAGTCATAGCTGATGCAACCTGTTGAGTGGAAATTAACTGCAGTCGATGTCCAACTCATCAGAAGAACAAGTAAGTACCGGTTTTACACATTTGATATTGGAGGCATGCAAAACGAGTTGCTTTGCTTTGATTGTTTGTGTGTGTACAGGGTGAGTAAAAAAAAAAACGAAACCCAAATGTCGGGACCAGTGTTTTAGTGAAGATCTTCATGTAGCACTTTCAAAATCTAGGATATGAAAGCCCAATTCATAAGCTTTCTTTTAGTACAAGACTCAGTCAAAGCACTCATGTACTTTTCAAGTTACAGAGTTTTAAACACAACCACCGTTTTAAAGTTCTGTCCACGGATCACGAAAAAGGTGTGTGTTCTTTCAGCTTATAACAAAAACAATTCACACACATCCTTTGTGATTTGTTTTCGTTTTGCTGAAAGAACACTGAACTTTTATGTGATCCGTGGACAGAACCTTAAACCGGCGGTTGTGTTTTAAACTCTGTAACTTGAAAAGTACATGAGTGCTTTGAATAATTCTTGTACTAAAAAAAGCTTGTGAATTGGGCTTTCATATCCTAGATTTTGAAAGTGCTACATGCAGAACTTCACTAAAACAATGGTCCCGACATTTGGGTTTCTTTTTTTTCGACTCACCCTGTATGTGTGCCCTAGCTGACACTGCATTATGAGGAAGTTTTCTATTGTCAGGGAAATGCGACCAAGTTGTGGGGACTTTCTGCTGTCCCCATAGTGTCTTCGGTCCCCATAATAACTATCGCAGAACAGGTGTGTGGTCCCCACAATTACGGAACAAGACAGTGTGTACAGGTGTGGCAGTCCATACGTTATGTGGACTTGCACAGGTCCGCCCAATGTTTTCATCTTTCTGTTTGATAGGTACATTTGTACCAAAAGGACACTAGGCTAGCTCTCTGTGACCAGCCAAAATCTAGAAAGAAATCAAGTGACATGCGATAACTGTTAAAGGGGCACTAGGTCCTGAAATCCCCGAAAATGTCATGTTTTGGATTGTTTACTTATCCTATTTCAAACATGTGGTTCAAAGGAAACCAACCTAATATCTTACCGTTCCCGAGAAAAGAGGAAAAATCCCCGGTTGTTTACATTGGACACGACAGAGTACGAATATGTTTTTCGTGTCGTTCTCAAACAGTGTACGATATACACGTTACAAGTGTGTCTCGGGAACAGCGGTGACCAATCACCAATGCAAAAAATATGGTTTCTTCAATGTCCGCAAAAGTTAAACTTTACGAATGAAATCACATCTAGCATCCCGACAGCTCAAATTTATGGGGTCGCAAAAGTGGACCCCGAAATTCGTTCTCGCACGCATAATCAGGGGTGTGAAATCTCAGCTTTAAAGCTGATTTCAGCTTTTTTTGTTTTGGATTTCAGCTTTTTTCCCCTCACTTGCTGTGTACAAAAGTATAGGATATTTCCGAAGTTCAGCTTTTTAACACCTTTTTCCAGCTGTTTTCAGCTATTTTAATCATTGGACACTCACACCCCTGATAATACAGGAATAACACAAAAACGCCCAGTTTTTAAAGGATAGTTGTGTGGATGTTTATACATGTATATTTACCATTTCCAAATATGAGAAGTGATGCATAATATATTGACACCAAAAGTTAACGGAAAATATAACCTCCGAAACATGACAACGCTTAATGACATAGCTACAGAACGGAAACAGAAACAGTGGTCAAAATAATATGGCAGAAAGGTCCAACCCTTGTGCTTAATCACAACCCAAAAGCAACTTGGAATGCATGCTCAATAATATAAATAGGTTGAATAAAAAAAGGTACCTCAAAACGGACCACTCAAAGTGGTATGATTAAGCCCCTTCTGGGGTCTGAGGTATCCATATGAAGAAACAAAGGAACTTTGCTAAGCTACCGGTACCCGAGGTAGCCTTTACCCAGGATAGTTGTGTGACCAAAAATCTAAGAATTCTATCCACTGGTTCAAAAAAATGTAGACCAAAACCTCAACATTTCAAAGTTACACCACTGATTGTGAAAATGGCCATATCCTACTTTTAAATGTTCTTTCCGATTAACATCATCTCGTTCCAAGCGTGTTTTGTAGCCCAGTTGGGCTGTTCCAGGACCTAGTGTCCCTTTAACAATTTTTTTTCGAATTGTGAAAGTCTTGGGGTGGAATGGAAGCAAGATTTGGGTATGGAGTTCCAGAGAGAGGCAGTACAACACCAATAACTTTGACAAATATCTTAAAGAGCCAGATTTTGGATTTGTAACTGTAGCCATATCCATCATGTGAGAAAATTCAGACTTTGTGTGATCATTTACTGTGAATGTCAAAAATTTCTCTTATGAGCGTCTCAAGGTAACTTTGGGTGTGAACTACATGTAGAGTTAACCATAGTTCAAGTAACTTCACTCAACAAAAGGATGGTTGAACTACTCTAGTCAACTACAATGTATGTGGAACCGGGAAATTCGGGATAATTGGATAGGAAATTTGGATAGTCATCAATAAAAAAGAGAAAAATCAGAGAAAATGTTAACTTCAGACCATACAGCGACATAGTGCATGTGCTGCCAGGTTGGTCATTAGTCTGCTCCCTTACATACATGTATTGCGCTAATGAAAATGAATTTACAGGTTCCATGCAGCAGATACACGACCATCACTCCCTCAGTCTGGCTTCCAGATGCGTAATATTACAAAATTACAACACCGTCTGCAAATGGTGCCCGACTAAATTTAGTGCAAAATATATGGGAGCCCAGGGAGGCCACATAAATACTCGATCGTAACTTCATCTAAAAACATGTTAAAATTGTGCAGCAGCAGGATTCCAGTCAAATGAGTGAGTTTGGCAGTTTTGAGACATCATCTTACATTGAAAGTTCTTAAAAATTTTGCCGACGCGCATGGCTATGACAATGCGCGCAAAGACCAGAAACTGGAGCATTTTTTTTTTGGCCTCATGGTCCTCGCCTGAACTTGCTCCATGCATAGCCAAAAAAAGGAGAAAAATTCCATTAATTAAGGTGTCTACGACTACAGAACTTTCACAAATAAAGCCTTTAACATATTACGCTGTACATGTACATGTAGATGCACCTTATACAATACCAGTGTAGGGCCTTCAAAAGAACTGAATAGGTGGGGCATATTTATGAAGGAGTGAAACATGTGTAGCACCCACACAATACAGTGTATGGGCCATTCAACTTGCGTGGGGGGATATCTCTCTGATTCATGAGTGCATTTTGTCTAGAAACCACAAGTATTCCAGTGTTGTGTTTGCGGTTTACCAAGGGTTGTGGAGGGGAAATATCAAGGTGCTAACAGATACATCTCATCATTTTTCCTTGAAACCTGGAGATCTGTCTCAGTGGGACCAAGAAATGTTTAGGATTGAGGTTGGGACAAAGGATTGTGGACAACTCGCATCAATTTATTTAACCAGTTACAAAATGTACAAGTATCACTTGTACTACTTTGCATTACATTGCACTACATTGTATTACCTTGTACTACATTGTATTACCTTGTATTACCTTGTATTACCTTGTATTACCTTGTATTACATTGTTTTACCTTGTACTACATTGTATTACCTTGTACTACATTGCATTACATTGTATTACCTTGCATTACATTGTATTACCTTGTACTACATTGTATTACCTTGTATTACCTTGTATTACATTGTTTTACCTTGTACTACATTGTATTACCTTGTACTACATTGTATTACATTGTATTACCTTGTACTACATTGTATTACCTAGTATTACATTGTATTACATTGTATGACCTTGTAATACATTGTATTACATTGTACTACATTGTATTACCTTGTACTACATTGTATTACATTGTATTACATTGTGTTCATTTCCTGATGAATCTATAACACAATAGAGTGCTGGGGCAGTGTGGGGCGGGCAGCACAGGGAGTACTAGGGAAGGGGGGGGGAGTTTGGGGCAGTATAGGAAAATGTGGATTGAATGCTGCAGACTCTAAAAACTTTTCTCGTCATTGGACTATTTTTTCCTTGGACTCTGTGTGAGATGCAGCAGGGCCACTCTTTCCTAATGTTGAAATCTATTTGATAAAAAAAGGCTATTTTGCAAGGAGCCTTCCAGAGTATAGAGGATTTTGTCTCTTTGTGAAATAGAAAACACTGTGGACATGTTCACATAGCAGACAGGGTTAAAGGAGTTCCATGTAGGTGTGTAGGAGATCATGTAGTACTTGTCATGCATACATTAGGAGATATTTGGTGTATGAGCTGAGGTTGCCACTTTAAGGCACACAGTAGCTGACCAGCAGTGTACTAACCCATTGTGTTCATGGCCAAATCCATTGAGTGGACATTGGGGATCAATTACTGTGTCAACAACCTGTCAGACTCATTACATGGCTGACCGGTGATGAATAGCCAGTAATGCATGTGACTGTTATGGCCATGTATTATGCTAACACTGTTAATAGCCCGTGGGTGGCCCAATACTGCATACACCACCAGTAAACTCTACTCCATCTTCAGGACAATAGGTTATTATTTACGACCGGCTTTTATGGCCTACATTTTGATGGCAAAAAAGCAGGCACTGAGTGAAAAAAAGAGAATAGTATTACAAAGTGTGATAGGTCATTTGGGGCGGTGGCGTGATAATTTAGCAGCAAAAGCCTGTTCTAATTAGGGGTTTAGGAAGCATTTGATAATTGCCTTTTAGGCCAAAAAAAATTACGTCGGTCTCTGGTCAGCGCGCGTGTCGATTTTAATCATGCGCGTCAATCTTTTTTTTTTCCAAAATGTTCTGCGGTAGCTCCAACAGCACCCTCTATTGCCGCACCTGCTCAATTTTTTTTTACCAAAGAGCACCAAGGAATGGGAAATTGCACCAAGGCAAATGATCGAGAGCACCAAGGCAAACTACGGAGGACACCAATGTACAAAACGTACATGTACATGAGGACACCAAAAAAGCAAAATAGTACTTGTCTGTACAATCCAAGCTTGAAGAAAAAAAAAAAAAAGCCGCGTCCCCGCGTCAATTCCGG